CACACACACACACACACACACACACACACACACACGAGAGAGAGAGAGAGAGACCTGTGAGACAGGCCTCGAGATCTAGGCCTAGCTCCAGCCACTGTCACCTGACCTGATCCACTGTTTCTAACACTCTCGAAAGCCTTCTCTGAGCTGTACCTGCCTGTAGGTGCCATCACATACCTGGACGTCTGCACTGACAGGGACCCCCAGCGGTACCACAAATCCTCTCTTGGGGCAGGAAGAGCCTCCCAGAGCACAGGAGAGACTGGAGGACCAGTGGATGCCCAGTGCCTGACAAGACCAATCCCAAGTCCATCCAGCATGTCTTGGTGAAGTGGTCTGGCCAGTCTATCATGACAGCGGGACACATGGCCTCATCCACATGGCCTGAGCTCCACAGGCTGCCAAGGGACACCAGCCAGCTGGTTTACGGGAATCCCGGCTCCAGACCTGCTGCAAGCAGCACCCCCCCCCCGCCCCGAGAAGCTGTGTGCCCAGTATGCAGGCAGGGAACTGCTGTCCCCTGCAGGCTGCTGAGCCCCACTCCCTCCCCACCTCCAGTGCCTGTCCTTCCCGAGACCCTGCATGAGGACAGGTGACCACAACTCATCACTCTTAAGTCAGAACCAACAGATAGCTGACCTTCTATCAGGTTTCAAGACTGCTCCCCTTTGTCCCTCAGAGCAGATGCTAGATTTGAACAGCTCAACTTTGAGTTGGCTGCACACCTTCCTACTCACTAGGGCAAACTTGAGGTGGTGGTTGTGTTGTGTACCATCAAGTCAGAACCAAACCATAGCTGACCTTCCAACAGATTTTCAGAGACCGTTAATCTGATTGCCTATCCTCCTCTTGCAGAGCAGCTGCTAGGTTTGAACTGCATGCCTTAGGGTTGACAGCACCACTCCTTACCACTAGGCCACCAGAGTTCCCAACAACAACAAATATGAGTATGGCCTGAATGTGTCCAGCTCAGACTTCTGAGGCCTCTTTACTGCAGAAGGCTGTGCCCCAAAGGGACCCCAGGAACTGGAAGAGACACAGTCACTTTGTGGGGAATAATGGAGTTAGGCTGTGATCCAGGCACTTCAGTCAAAATCTTAACACTTGCTACCCAACAACTGTCTGTTTGGACTACACTGGTACTCGAGACACTCTGCTTTTTGGTCCAGGGTCCCAGACACCTCCACACTTCCACCCCAGCTTTGTGGATCCATCCACCTTGCCTCTTCAGGCAGCTCCCACTGGGTCTGAAGCCCAGTGGGCCATATAGTAGTACTGTGAGAATGCAGTTCAGGCAAAAAGACCACAACCCTTTCCTTCAGTCAGGGCCTTCTGAGGGGAGGGAAGATGGACACTGGGGCTCCCTGGGGCTACTAATGAGCCTGGGCAGAAAGCACAAGCTGGGTCACAGATCAACCTTAGTTATCAGGTCTCCTACAGTTTCAAATCTAATTCGGAGAGCAGGTAGGACATGAAAGGGTCCAGTCAAGCCTGGATCACTGGTAGGGCTCTCCTCTGATGTCCTTTGGTCATCACGGCACACACACACACACACACACACCCGAGATCATACAGGGACACAGGATAGATTCACAGTTGCTAAAGCTCTGCTTACACAGCACCCCAAATCCAGTGGCTCCGTGACCTTCTGTGCCATCACCTAAGTGTGCACAGAGACTAGAGGATTCCAGGTATCAAGTGCTTGGTGTCCAAAGAGGCAGCACTTCCTGTGCCCAGGAGCATGGGCAGACGGCCTGACCCTGGGACCAGCCAGAGTCAGGAGAAGGAAGTGCTGTTTTTTCTTGGCATGCTGCCCCAGCTCAGGGGTCAATTCAGTATCAGTGGTGAGACTGAATTGAAACCCTCATTGTAAGTGAGCACTAAGTGCTACTGTAACAAGCTCCAGCCACTTCAAAACTCAGGCTGATTTCATGGCCAGGGTACTTCACCAAAGTCCTGTCTAGCGCCATCTCAACCCCATTGCAGTTCCTTGAATCCAAACGCACATCCAACTTAAGTTTGACATTTCACAAATACATAGCAAGTGTAGGGAGGAAATTGCCCCATTTCAATAGCTTTGCTAATATCTAGGGTGAAAGACTATAGATGCCTTGAGTTCACGCTACTGTGTTTAGTTAAAATTTTATTCCCTTTTAAAGAGAAAAATATACATCACAGGGGATGTGGTGTGAGGGGGACTAGGCATGCAGTTGAAGCCAACCTGAACCAGAGATAGTACCATGCTTCCCTGTGCCCACAGCTTCTAGCTTTGTTGGAGGTGCTGAATCTTTGCCACACACCTGGAGACCTGGCCACATACCTGGAGGGCACTGATGGGCTGGGCTCAGGGCCACCTACTTGTTTTGCAGGTAGATTCACTGGAGACCTCAGAGAGTCTGCAGCAGCAGGAACAGCATGTGGCATCCACCCCTCTCACGTTGGGTAAGTGAGGTGAAGTGGGTGGGCAGGGCAAGGATGGGGAGGCCCTCCCTGACTGCATGCTCAGGAGTGTGGGAGAGGCGCAGCCATGTGCCCTCCCTGCTCTGGGACACCTTCTGAGGAGGCCTGCTGTGCCTGGCACTTGCTTGGTGAGCCTGTCCTCACATGCTGGCCCACAGGAAGCAAGACTGTAGCTGGCCTGTTGTGCAGAATGCCCACCCTCCCAGGACCATACTCCTGAGCAAATGAACTTGGTGTATACAGTTCAGACTTGCCCTCTGACTCGGAGAGGGCCAGCATGTCACGAAGAAGAGGTGCTTGGATCATGTAGCATGTGAGCCTGGCCTTGGGGTACCCGGCCACGTATTGTTCCACCCACCATTATTGTCGGTCTGGGTTTATTTTAGATTCTGATGGGCAGGAGTGACGCCCAGAGGACTGAACACAGTAAGTACCCTGTGGGCAGTCCCAGAACAGCTGTGTCCCCTCTTACCTCCAAGCACATGCTCTCCAGGGTCAGGCTAGTCTGGACACTTGGCCCCATGCCCCACCACGACCACCCAGACTCCTTTGGGGCAGCCAGGTAGACAGCTCTACTTACTTCCCTGCTCCACCTCTCAGGCCAGCCGTTGATGCTGGTGGCAGTGGCCATTGCCAGCGTCCCTCACAACACACCACCTCTCCAACCTTCACCTTGCGCCTTGCTCAGCTTCAGTGCACTGAGTGCTCAGTCTCACGCTGCATCCGCCAAGTTATGACGCTCTGCCTGGAGTACCACAGCAGAAGAGCAAAGATCCCCGCCAGAGCGGGTACACTTGTACGGGATCTCACTGAGGCTATACCTGGCCAGAACCACTGGACTCCTCAGAGCGTCAAGCCCTCAAGCTGAAATATGGTTCCTGTGGAAGTCCTGTCTGCAAAGATGCACATGCCAGTATACTCCGGGATCTGAGAGACAAACACCCTCTTCACCCCACACTGGCCTGGGCTGCCCTCCCCAGGCCACTAGCAGACCCTACAGGAACCCTTGGCATGCGGAGATAACCGACTGTATTAAAGGCACTTTATCAAGGCAAACTCGCTGTGTGCTCAATGCCTTGGGGGAGGTGGGGACGTTGGGAACTGGCGATGGAAGTGGCCAGATTCGCTGGGGATCTAGAGGTGCTACTTCCGGACAGTGTATTCGGCAGGGAAATCTGAATTCCTCCTGGCGGACCTCGAGGTCTCCCTAGGACCAGCCTCTTCACAGCAAGAATGGCGTTAGTCTCACGCGTCCTGGGGGAGGGTTTGATCCTCTCTCCCCAGAGAGCCGGAGCGGCCACTCACAAGCGTTGCACCTTGACCCACAGCCCCTTCCCCGCCCCGGCCCGCCCCGCCTGTTGGGCAGGCGCCCAGACGCGCCATTGGCTGCGCAGCCGTGCCACCGGCCGCAAGCGCCCGCGCGCCCCGCCCCGGCCTCAGTTTCCCGCCCGGCACGGGGGCGGGGCAGGGGCGGGGCCCGGCTCGGACCACGCGGGGCGGAGCCCCCAAAGCTGACGCAGCCGCCCCGCCCCCGGGACCATAAATAACCCGCTGCTGGCCTCCACCGCTGCCCCAGCCACTGCTGCCGCCGCCCGAGAACCGAGCGCCGGGACTCGGACCCGAGGCCACCCGGGTGCACCGCCTCCTCGCCCGCCATGGCTGCGCCCCTCCAGCCGCGCGCCCTGGTGGCCGCCGCGCCCGCGTCCGAGAAAGCCAAGCTGACGCACCCGGGGAAGGCGATCCTCGCAGGTGGGCCCGGGACCCCCGCCGCCCCGGCTGTACCGGCTTCCGGGTGGGCCCGCCGCTCGAGGCTCCGCCCCACTTCCGGGTTGGGCGGGCGGGGGCGCGGCTCCCAGTGTGGCGTCGCCCTTGACCGTGAGCGGCGTGGGGGAGGCACGGCGTGGGCCCTGGGTGGGGGCGTGGCGGCGCTCTTGACTGTGGGCCCGCACGCCGAGGCAGGGCTTGGACTCAGGGTGGAGGCGCGGCTCCCGGCGTGGCGGCGCCCTTGACTGTGGCTCGGCGCAGACCCAGGCCCCAGCGGAGCAGGAGGCTCCGGGGCTCAGGACCTGGTTCCCCGCAGGCGGACTGGCGGGCGGCATTGAGATCTGTATCACGTTCCCCACCGAGTATGTGAAAACGCAGCTGCAGCTGGACGAGCGCGCGCACCCACCTCGGTACCGGGGCATCGGTGAGGAAGGGGTGGGTCATTGCAATCTTTGCAGTAGGATATAACTTGCAGATGGGGCATGAGACTGAGCTCTTTGTGCTGAAGCTGAACAAGGGCTTGGTAAAGGGACTGAAACTTCAGTGAGGAGGGGTGGTGGCTGCAGGGGTTGTGCTGTGGGGTCGCCATTTCTCACCCCCTCCCTCTCCCTTACTCCAGGGGACTGCGTGCGCCAGACAATCCGCAGCCATGGAGTCCTGGGTCTGTACCGCGGCCTCAGCTCCCTGCTTTACGGTTCCATTCCCAAGGCGGCCGTCAGGTAAGGCCGGATGAGGGCGCAGGTTGTGGGCGCAGGGCCGTTGGGAACAGTGGCTGACCGCCGCTGACCCTGCTCCCACCCTCAGGTTCGGCATGTTCGAGTTCCTTAGCAACCACATGCGTGACGCCCAAGGACGGCTGGACAGCACGCGCGGCCTGCTGTGCGGTCTAGGCGCCGGGGTGGCTGAGGCCGTTGTGGTCGTGTGCCCGATGGAGACTGTCAAGGTGGGCATGGTCGCGTCACGGGTTTGAGGGCTGCCAAGAGAGACAGTGGGGCAGGACATAGAGGAGGAGCCACGCAATGCACACAAGGAGCTTGCAGGCAACTTGCTATCGTGTACCAACTAGTCAAAACAACCCTTAGTTGACCCTCCCGCCAGTTTTCAGAGGAAGTAAATACTTCTCCCACTGAATAGTTGGTGAATTCTAAAGCGTGCCTTTGGGATTTCAGTGCAGCTTCTTACTAGGCCACCAGAACACCTTAAAAGATACTAGATTTCTTAAGAAAATGTCTTCCTAGATAGACAGAGCATGTTTGCTGCAGAAACCATAGGCAATAATAACAAGCAGAGTCCCACATTCGCCACCTGGCCTTCTCCTTGACTGGGGCTTCACTCTTGTGTGCCCCATGGTGGCCCATAGGTGCTGTCTCCTCCGAAGAACTTTGGTCTGACCTTGGGATTAGAGATTCAAGTTGCCCACCAGCTGGTAGCCAGGAACAGCCATTGGTGACCTCCGGGATTGCTCCTTTATTTCCCTCTCAGGTAAAATTCATCCATGACCAGACTTCCACAAACCCCAAGTACAAAGGATTCTTCCACGGTGTCAGGGAGATCGTCCGGGAACAAGGTGAGCACCCTGGACAGTCAGGGGCCTCTGCCTGGCTGAAGGGGGCTTCAACTGCCCCACCTTTGGCCTGGGGGCACCAGTGTGACCCTCCCTCTCTACTCCTGCCTCAGGACTAAAGGGCACGTACCAGGGCCTCACGGCCACTGTGCTGAAGCAGGGCTCTAACCAGGCCATCCGCTTCTTCGTCATGACTTCCCTGCGTAACTGGTACCTAGGTGTGTCTGCATTCTGCCCCTATGGGCCATCCTGGTGCAGGGGGCACCCTCACAGGCCCAGACCCACACCCTGCAAGCCCTGAGAGTTCTGGCCCCCTTGTCACCCGTCAACCCCTAACTGCAACCCTCCTCCTTGCCCAGGGGACAACCCCAACAAGCCCATGAACCCCTTGGTTACCGGGGTCTTCGGAGCTATAGCGGGTGCTGCCAGCGTCTTTGGGAACACTCCACTGGATGTGATCAAGACCCGGATGCAGGTGTGGGGCCAAGGAGTAACTGCAGGGCACAGGGAGGGCGGCAGAGGGAGGTTGGACGCTGAGCATGGCTTTGTCCTGCAGGGTTTGGAAGCCCACAAGTACCGCAACACCTGGGACTGCGGCCTGCAGATCCTTAGGAACGAGGGGCTCAAGGCGTAAGTACAGCAGCGCTATGTCACCACCCTGGGCTCCAAGCATTCTCTGCTCCTTCTCCTGTCCACAGGAACATTGTTCTTTTCCCATGCCGCCCTCCCTTGCTCACTGCCTGCCCCCCTGCCCAGGTTCTACAAGGGCACAGTCCCTCGCCTGGGCCGGGTCTGCCTGGACGTGGCAATCGTGTTTGTCATCTATGACGAGGTGGTGAAGCTGCTCAACAAGGTGTGGAAGACAGACTAAGTCCAGCATCTGTGCGATGAACTCTGAGCCTCTGGGCCGGGCTCCACGTCCCACGTGATTCCAGTGTGGCATGCCAAACAGCCCTCTCCCCGCCTCCCCCCAAGTCCTTTGAGCTCTGTGGCCCTGGGTCTATGTGTCCTGCAGTGCTGTGTTTCCCCTGTGGTTTGTGTGTGACACTACCATTGTGTCCAGCCAGGCTGTAGCTGGGTGTCCCTGTGGCCTGTGAGTCCATGCCTACGTGTCCCATTGTGCTTCCTTCTGAGCCATATGCTGGTGTCCTGTATTGTGTGTTGTCACCCCATGTCTCACTTCCTGGGGTGCCTATGTGGCCTAAGTCCACAGCCTCTGCAGCCATGGCCTGGTCCCAGTCCGGTGCCTTCCGCCCAAGCTGGCAGGAGCATCCCGCCTCGGCCTACCAGAGCTGCCTCCAGGCCACAGCCTGGCCTCACCGCATTCCAGGGGCTTCATGCCCCCTGCTTCTCCCGCCACAGGCCTTAACTGGCCCTCGGGCCCTTCCTTCACCCAGGATGGGGTGGCACTTGCCACTCTCAGGACCACCCTCCAAGGCAAAATAAACCGGATCCTGTCTCAGCTCCCTGCCTGGGCTTCCCTGTGTGAGCACCCCTGGAGGGCAATAGCCACGGGCTCCAGTGGCAGCAACAGGCAGGGGCTGAAGACCAGGGAGGGCAACTGCCACCAAAGCAGCAGCTCACCAAGAGCCCCAGGCTAAGGAGGACCTAAGCACCCCCTACCTCTCCCTGTAATCTGATGGGCACAAGGCTGGGTGGTGGCTTGGCATGCAGTAGTCAAAAACAGCTGTTTCTTGGGAGTCAAGCCCAGGGAATTAGCTTGGCCCTTGGCCTACCATGTGGCCACTTCCTCACCTGCCTTGTGCTTCTGTGAAAAGAACTGGAGACAAGACAGCAGAAGAGCTTGGGGCTTTAAGGTCCAGCAAATACTGTGGAGCATCCCGCTTCAGGTCCCTTGAGGCTGTGTCAACCTTTTGGCCCTTCACTCAGGCAAGGCAGCAGGGAGTGAAGCTGCTCAGCAGGTCCCTTGCATTCTCCAAACCAGCCCCCTCCCCCACCACAACCCTGAACCTCCCAAGAAAGCAGACCTCCAGCTGGAGTGTACCAGGTGCCAAGCCAAGCCCTTAGCCTGTGAAGTCCCTGGCTGTACCCCAAATCATGGCACCACTGTAGTGGTGTTTGCCACTCTTAGGACTTCTGTCCTGAGGACAGACACCTTCCTGTCCTAATAACTCTCTGGGGTAGACTGTGGGAAGACTTGACTGGCAAAGGATGAAGAATAACCTCCCTTGGAAGGCCAGCTCCCTCAAGCAACTGCTTCCTGGACTGCTCTATAGCAAGAAGGAGGATCTGGGGTTTTAAGGCATCCAGGGCATATGTGAAGGTCAGCTGGAGGAGCACAGGCCTGGGGATGCTGCTTTGCAGCTCCCTTCACAGGGAGGAGGGGCTGAAGCGGCCCATCCTGATGAGTGCTCATGGAGCTAGGTTGTGCAGCTAAGGCTGTTAGCAAAGATGAGCCCCCAACCCACCCCGGCAGTGGTCTGTTTGCCAAAGCACAAGATCATATGGGAAGGCAAGCCCTTTTCTTGCAAGCTGAAGCTAGACGGAAGAGCTCAAAGTGTCCAGGGCTCTGGGAAAGAGGTGGGACTGGTTGGGGAGAACCAGGCCTGCAGAGAGAAAGCGACTGCCTGCCTGTGTGGACGTAGGTCAAAAGACTGAGCTAACCAGGCAGGAGAAACCTGGGTGCCCCTGGACTAGGCATTCACAGGTGGACTTTCCCCATAACCCTCAATGTGGAGATGTATTGGGGAAATCCTGGGATCAGCTAGAACTATAAATTAGAAGTGTTAAGCAGAGGGGTTCATGTGTGAGCTTCAAACTGGCCAATCTCCAGGAGTGCTACAGAGGTCAAGGCTACAGGCAGCTCCACTTGCTTCATGCATGGACAGGGCTCAGCCTGCAAGGGACAGTAACCTCAAAGAGCCGGAGGTAGTTTTGCCTGAGGCAGGGCTTGACCCATTTCCAGCTCCATTTCCCCACAGTAGAGCTGAGCATGGTTGATGTCCTGCCTTCTTAGGGCTGAATCCCACAGGGCAGCTGTTATCCTGGGACCCAGAACCCTACTTTCCCCTGGCAGGGCAGACATCCCCTGGTTTTTCCCACGTTCTTTGTGAGGACATGAAGTGTAGTCAGTTTAGCACTGAGACAAAGCCAGTCTCTTTTGACAAATGAGTTCTTTTTAAACCAGGAAAATTGTTTCAGGGGGCTTGTATTCCTGAGTCCTCACAGGAAACTGCCTCAGATGAGGATGAGTGCCTTTCTATAAAAATTTTGGCAGACTTCATGGACTAAGGGACATGCAGTCTAGGGTCATAGGAGCTCCTGGCCTCAAGAACTGGGAGCAGTGAATGGGCTTAAGGACAAAGAAGAATAAAAAAACCCCTGGGACCATATGGGGAAATCTCGACGTGAAAAGAGAGACCTGGAACAACTGTTGCCAAGTGGAGGGCTGGCCTGAAAGAATCCAGAGAGCTACAGAGAACATCAGTCCACAGGGCATGTGGCCCAGGTCAACAATGTGGGTTACCTCTGATATGGACCTCTAGCCTCCCTCTTCCTGGGAAGAAGGCTACAGGTTACTGTGAATTTGTGGCCTTCCTCCCCTCTGCTCAGATTGGGCCAAACCCTAATTCCTGACCCAGCACTTTCAAAGTTTTTGTTTGTCACCCCTTCCCTGCAGGCCGCTCTCCCCACTAAACTCCTCCACTGGCCTAGCACCATATGGCCCTGGAGGAGATATCTCCGGAAGTGACCTCTAGGGGAGAAATCAACTCGAAAACTGCTCCAATAACTCTGTTGAGTGCCATGGAGTCTGCCCCTCCAGCGCGTTTTCAGGGACAGTAAATCGCACAGGTTTCAGCTGGTGGGTTGACCGCCCGCATGGCTTTGGGATTACAAATTTCTTAACTCTGCCGATTCCCTCAAATACCTCTAAGGCGACCCCACCCTGACTAGCGGAAAGGCAGTGCCCAACCCCAGACCCGCCTAGACAATGACCAGCTCCCGACAGCAGCTACAGCGCTCTCCCAATCAGCAACCCCACCCCTCGTGCCAAGCCCCCTTCTCTTTTCGCTGGGCTGCAATAGGAAAGGCGTCGGTGACCAAGGTCCCAAATGAGGTATGCCTGCCAAGTCCGGGGGGTGGGGGGGGAGGGTCGCATCTGGTCTGAAATTCCGAGGGCACGCGGTTCAAATCCGCCAGCAAAGGAGTCAAATATGTTGAGACTGGAGCAGGATAGCACAGGGCTCAGATCCCTGTTCACAGGGATCCGGGATGAGGCGGCCGGCCCTGATGACGCCATCAACACCTGCCACAGAAACTTCCGGTTGGCTGCTCCCGCCCCCGCTGGCCGCTTCCCCTGTCTGTAATGCCTCGCTCCCCAAGCCACCACTGTCCTCATTTCAGGTGGCCCAGCCACGGCCATCGCCTCCAAAGACCGGAACCACCTATTTCCCCCTGTAGATTCCATACCAGGGAGGAGAGGGGGTGCTAGAGAGGCACGCACCCCAAGGTCATCTTGTTGCTCTGTGTTGAGTTGGAACCGACCCAGAGCTGACCGTCTGGTGGGTTTTCAGAGGCAGTTAATCACTTTTGCACTTGATTTCCTAAAAAAGAAGACGAACCACCTCTGTCTTGGAAGGCGCGCTGTGAAAAGCAAGGATGATGAGACTTGATCTCTTATGTTGTTGTGTGACATCAAGTCCCTTGTGACTCACAGCAACTGTATGTACAAGAGCCCTAAACGCCATTCTATCCTGTGCCAGCCTCGCTGTCTCAAACACATTCATTTCCCACCACTCCACTCACAGAATCGATCCATCTCATCGAGGGTCTTCCTCTCCTGAGCCATCCCTCCAATCTCCCAAGTAAGATCATGCCCAGCATGTGTGAGCCCTTGTCCAGAGGACTCAGTCATGTCAGGGTATGCTGACAAGAAGGGGAATAATTATGCTCAATAGCAGGCTCCTGCATGGGAACCAGCAAGAAAAAAGTGGTGATAGTGGCTGTTAGGTGTTGAGTCAGTACGACTCCTAGCAACCCCGTGAAAAACAGACCTGAACCCTGTCCTATTTTGTGTCAACCACACAATCTTTTTTTTATGAAAATATTTTTATTCTGACATCCAAGCAGATATATGCACACCCATGTTTATTGCAGCTTTGAAAATATTTTTATTATTTTTGTGTATGTTGTTGTTATGTGCCATCGAGTCGCTTACGACTCATAGCGACCCTATGTGCCAACCCAGCCATCTCAAACGCACTTATTCCCACTGCGCCAGTCACAGAATCGATCCATCTCACCAAAGGTCTTCCTCTCCTTAGCTGCCCCTCCACTCTGCCAAACATGATGTCCCTCTCCAAGGACCAGTCCCTCCTTGCAACACGCCCAAAATATGTCAGACGAAGCTTCAGAATCCTTGACTCCAGGGAACACTCTGGCTTCACCCTCTCCAGGACAAACCTGTTTGTTCTCCTAGCAGTTCATGGTATATTTAACACTCTTCTCCAGCACCACAGCTCAAAGGCATCAATCCTCTTTCTATCAACCCTATTTACGGTCCAACTCTCTGATGCATAGCACATAATTGCGAAGACTATAGCCCAGATCAGGCGCACCTTAGTCTCCAGCCTGACATCGTTGCTCTTCAGTACTCTTGAGAGGTCCCTCACAGCCGACTTTCCCAATGCAATTTGTCTCCTGATTTCCTGGCTGCTGTTACCAAGAGTGTTGACTGTGGAGCCAAGTAAATTAAAACTGTTAACTATCTCAATCTCTTCACCATCCGTACTGATGCTGCCAATTGGCCCAGTGGTGAGAATCTTTGTTTTCTTGATGTTGGGCTTCTGTCCATATAGGAGGCTGTAGTCCTTGATCTTCTGCAGCAAGCGCTTCAGGTCCTCCTCAGTTTCAGGA